AAAGCATTTTTATTCGTTGTTGACGAGCTCAATCCGGGTCGTGGTAGGAATACCACTTCGACTGTGTAGGACCTTACTGATTATGATGGCCCCTTTCGATTAGTGGGGAGATAATCCCGGAGATGCACTTGCTGGAAAAAAATAGGGTCCAGAGAAGTCCCATTAAACACACACTTCAGTTCAGGGGGGTTTGAGGGTCGTACGAGTCCAGAACCCTCCCTACCACCAACAACAATTCCCCAGTTTCACCCCTTCGTTTCCCTGAACCAGTTTCCCCGGTAAGGTTCTTTCCCGGGCTCTTAGCCCTGTTTCAATTTGGGGGGGGGGGCAATGGGGGTCGAATTTCCCACCCCTAATGAAAACCCCTTCCCGATAACAGAGGCGACCCCATGTCTCTGAATCGCGTTCCATTAACCCCTTTAAAAAAAAAAAAGAAAAAAAAAAAAGGTCCCCATGTCTCTGAATCGCGTTCCCCTAACCCCTTCAAAAAAAAAAAAAAAAAAAAAAAAAAAAAGGTCCCTTGGTTTCGAAGGAGAACGAGAAGTCCGTGGTTTCGCACAAACAGGAATTCAAACGCGAATTTAACCATGAGCAGCTAAACCATATATAGTCCATGGATTTCCTGTTGATGATCACGATCATTTGAAATGGACGTCCTCTCTTTTTTTCCCAAATAAAATAAAATATGAGGAATCACAATTATGTCCGGACCCTCAAAAGCCGGATTGAAGTGTTCCATGCTATTCTGCTATTCGGACTGGTCTGGACTCGCGACACTTCCATGCTATTCTGCTATTCGGACTGGTCTGGACTCGCCACGAGTGCTGCTGCTGCTGCTACTCTACATCGGAACGCAGAAGCAGGCGGAGGAACGATGAAGTGTAGGGGTGTAGGAGGCAGAGCTCTGGCTGAAGGATGGCGAAGAAGGGATCGAGAAGAGTGCTTGGGAACTTCCCTTAGAAAATGACGAAATGGTCAAAAAGAGTCCCGTCCTTAGGGTTGGTTGTTTCACCTTGTTTTTGAAGAATTTCCCCCAGCCTCGTTGTGTTTCTTTTCTTCTTTTCAAGACTACTACCGGTAGTAAGCAACAGTGTTCTTCTCTCAAAATCACCTTTCATTCCCTACCTATCCCCACTACTACTACTACTACATCACCTTTCATTCCCTACCTATCCCCACTACTACTACTACTACTACTACTACTACTACTACGACTACTACTACTACTACTACTACTACTACTACTATCCCCGGCCTTCATGGTTGATGGCATCATTCTCTTTGTTCCCTAAGAAAAAAAGAAGAAGAAGAAAAATAGACCTTACCCTGTTCACAGGCGGGACTGAAGTGCCCGCCGTATAACATAACATTGTGGCCGAGAAGAGTGCCACGGCTTTGAGAAAGCAGGCGAAGGAGACAGAGGTTGAACTGAAGGAGAAGGTAGAACGACGAAGTAAATCCAGAAGAGAGATTCCTAAGTTTTGTTTTGTGTGAGGAAGCGGTCAGGAAAGAGTGTGGTGCCAAAGGGATCGGGACGAGGTGGTCAAGCGCAGACTGTTGTAGTGTTGCGAAATCGGTGAGGAAGAGTGGTGCCAAAGGGAGGAGGAAGAGTGGTGCGAAAGGTAGGAGGAAGTGGGCAAGGGGAGGAAGAGTGATGCCAAAGGGGCTGACGAAGACGAGGAGAGCGGTGAAGACGAGGATGGGTGGAGGAAGGTAAATGGATAATTGATTGATGTGGGGAGAGAAGAAGCCTTAGGAAGAGTTGCTCTACCAAAAGGTTAAGCGATGAATGACACAAGAGAGGAAAGTTGTGTTGTATTGCTCACCCGACAACTCAAGGCCTGGGTATGATGAAAATGAGTGAGCGCAGTGACAAGTAATGGGAGAAGCAGGAACTTGGGGGCAAATGTGCAATCGGATATGACCTGTGAAGCAACTTAGCGGTCGGTGGCAGGCAATGGCAGAACTAGTACTTGGGGGCAAATGTGCAATCCGATGTGACCTGAAGCGGCTTAGCGCGCAGTGACAGTGAATGTGAGAAGCACTACTTGGGGGCAAATGTGCAATCGGATATGACCTGAAGCAACTTAGCGCGCGGTGACAGGTAGTGGCAGAACTACTACTACTTGGGGGCAAATGTGCAATCCGATGTGACCTGAAGCGGCTTAGCGCGAAGTGACAGTGAATGGGAGGGAGAACTACTAGTTGGGGGCAAAATTAATGTGCAATCGGATGTGACCTGGCGCGGCTTAGCGCGCAGTGACAGTGAATGGGAGGGAGAACTTGCACTTGGGCCAGCAGGCAATCAGATAGCTTCTGATTCAGAACCACCTTGTGACCCAAGCAAGTAAAGAAGGAAGCACAGCAATCTGATTCATTATTCATATAGTACTGCGATCGTGCGCATCGGTCAATCTCTCATCTCAGCAGCAGCCGTTGTGGAGAAGCGTGCCCATCGTTGTGCGGAGATGGCAATGGCTGCCAGCGGTAAGTTTGAGCCCGAGGAGGGCTTCGTGATAACCTCCCCACTCAGCTGTATCGTTCCAGCAGTTCTCGTCAGTTGGGTGACGGTGGAACTGCTCCTGGACTTGGCTGTTTTGATCACAGTGCGGATGTCCTGGATCGTGCAGCCTGGAACGCAGGCGGCAATCTTGTCCCACTTGTCGCCCAGTTTGGAGTGGAGCTGCATAATTAGCAGCCTTTCAGCTGTCGTCAGATCCGGCAACCTGGAAGCGGCGTCGCCGCTGCCCCTTTGTCTCTCCTTCTCAAGACGCAGCGTAAGTGGCCTCATGTCTTCAGTAGACATACACCAGTCGAAGACCTCCGATGCCTTTCCCCGCCCTCGGCACCCACCGACCGGCCTGACCTATTCCACCTCCCCCTCTCCCACCTCTCCCACCTCTCCCACCTCTCCCACCTCGCACACAATCCCGAACGACTGCTGCCCTCACCAATGCAGCAGGAGCTTTTGCGTCTACTCTACTCCCTGTTGCCAGCACACAAAGCGATAGCCACAGCCGCCCAAAACCGCACTCACAGCCGGAGGTCCCGAGTCCCCAGACGCAGGGATTCCGCTCCAATGCCTTCTGAGTCAGAGAACGAGCTGAGCGAATAGAAACAGCAGCCGCAGACCGATGGCGCCGAAGGGAGATCGATCAGAATGGCTCTGCAGGGGCCCCCTGCACACCATGCGCGCCGGCCGCCGTGGGTTAAATATGCCGTAGCGACCGGAGATGAAAGGGAGAATGAGCAGCAGCAGGAGGAGGAGGAGGAGGAGGAGGAGGAGGAGGGAGGCGGTAAACGTGAGCTTCAAAAAGAGGGCGGAGAAACAGGCCAGCAGCCGACGTTTCCAGCTCCGTTGACAAGAGTGCGCGCAAGAGAGGAGCAGCAGAGTCTGATGCGAAGGGAGGTGAGGAGGCCGGGTGGTGAAGAGAGAGGAGAGGGTAGTACGAAATTCGAGGACAAGAATGAACAAGTCTATTGGTAGTAGTCTTGCCGCCGCCGTGCTTGGACTCGATTTGCGCAATCGCTTTCAATCCCGAAAACGCAAGCGGCGATGGCAATGTAGCACAGTCCGGGAATGCTCATGCGCTAATCATTCGTCACCAGGTCCGTCGACTATGCGGTCAGATCCTCCTGCCTACGAGTACTAACACTTGGCTGCTGCTGTTCGTATTAGCTTGCCAACTGATCCCATGTACTACACAGTTTATCGACTCTTATCGACTTCACCCACACGAGTTCTACCAGCTTCTGTAGTTTCAACACATGCTCAAGCACATCCTCGACTCATCGTCAAATCATACCCACCCTCAGTACATGCTCCCGTTGGGGCCGTTGCCGGTCTTAAAAGCGACAGGCACAGAGCCTGTCTTTCCTCGCGGATTGAACGGTCATGTCCGGGAAAGCGCAGACACAGGCCAGCCGAGCTATGGGTGGTAGATTGGCTCCGACGTTTGGCCTTACTCTTCGGTCACTGGACGTAGGCGACTGTTTAACCGTGCGAGCAAAAGCGAGCGAGCGAGCGAGAGAGAGAGAGAGAGAGAGAGAGAGAGAGAGAGAGAGAGAGAGAGAGAGAGAGAGAGAGAGAGAGAGAGAGAGAGAGAG